TTTGGGGGGACCCGGGCCCATTTTAAAACCAAACCCCCCCAAAAAATTTTTTGCCCCTAAAAAAAAATTTGGCAAAAACGTAAAAAATATTTCCCCCCCCCCCCCCCCCTCTTGGTCTAGAATTGGTGGGAATATGGAAACTTGGTTCATACATATTTTAAGAATCTCAAGACGTACGATTATAAATTCTTTCTTAAACACGTTTTCTTTTTTATAGCTAATTTTAAGCTGTCAACTGATCAAAACAGTAATAGAAAAATAAAACTTGAAAATGACTACTGTGAGAGCACGTTCTATCTCATAGAATTATAGCATGAATTTGTAAAAAAGAACATTATTACCTGTTTAAAAATACAGTTGAGTGTATTCGTGTTTGTCTATCTTTCCTTTAATCTTTCTTAAAACTAATAAGAAGTTTAGTATCTGATTTATTTTTATTTCAAATTTCTCTACGTTATCTGCTTTAAGCTGAGAGTAACAATAACAAAAAATGATTATCCGCATTGGACTCTAGACAGGTTATTTCAGATATGTTACTCAATTCAGTTGGACGAGTCGTACTGAAAACTCTTCTTTCTCTGTTCTTATAAAAAGCACATGTAATCGGATTGCTTCTATATATCTATGTTGACTAATCATGATTAAGAACGTTTCAGCGACATTTCTTTGTATCATGATTGAACAATTACAGTAGTAACCGCATTGAACTTATGTTTTGAATGTTTTGTAAGAACGAGTGCTGAATGGTGTTCCAGTAGGACAGGTGATTGTCAATTAAAAGTTTTTGTACAATTGGTGTTCTTCTGCTTCTTTTTTAGGTTATGTTTATAAATTAATATCTTGTTTATTTTCATATATGGGCGATAGAACCAACGTAATGGATGGAAATCTTTCACAACTACCCTATTCAGTAACATTACGATCGACAATTTTAAATGATTTTCATAATAATCCTTTTTATAAGTCACCGAATAGTTCCAGTGCAAGAAGAAACAATACATTTTAATGAAGAACAATTACTAAGACACTATGAAAATAACAAACATAAACTTTTTCAATATTATATAAATCAGAATAGGCATTTGAATGAAAATATTCATTATTAACGCAACAATAACAAAATTTAATACAATAGCAGAATAATTTACTACAATTAGAATCGAAAAAAACACCACCACTATTACAAGTATCGCAAATGATACTGTTCGCAGGTACGCTCATGGTCGAACAATTCACATACGCACACACGATAAATTCATCATCAAGAACAACGAGTGAACAAAAGAAATTTCGTAAGAGTTTATTAAAATATTATAGCTATTTTAAAAAAGGATGAATTTCTTGAATGTCAGATAACGGGTGAAATTTCACCAGCAAATGAAGTCACAGCCCGCCATATTTTTAAGTACTGTTGGTCAAATTGGATCATAAAACTATTGTATATTAATAGCATAAATGATCTCAGAAATGGTTTATTAATACAAAAAAAGTTAGAAGAGTGTTTCGGCACAGACAAGTTTGTGATAATTTATGATTGCAATAGTGACAACTATCAAGTCAAAAGTCTTGATAAAGATATATTAAATGAACCTTTAAATTGTGGTCTTGTAAAGGATATCAAAAATAAGATAATAAAATTTCTGCCACCACAACGATCATATGATAGATTAATTCAATTTCGTTTCTCAAACTGTGTCCTTCAAACTAATAAAAAAATAAAACATCCTGTTGATGATATTGTATAACTACAATCCTTAGTAAATAATACTCCAGGGTCAGTCGATTTTAAAGAAAAAGTATCGATTTGGTTACAAAATAATCCAGTCGATCAATTCGGCGAACAAAGACCAGGTCATCGTCACATTTTGAAAAAAAAAACCATCATTAACATCAACAGAAACAAATAACATCTACAACAAAGTAATTTAAATGATGCACACTCAATTAAAGGTAATAAAATTTGAATTGGAACAATAGGACTGGAGATGTTTTCAATAGAGTTAATTAACGCGAAAAAGAATGTTTTGTAATATAGTTTCTCAATATACTGCAATAACTTCTTACTTCTCACTATCGCCGTTGTCCTGATGATACATAATCAACCATCGATTACTTCAGGATGGGTTAAACCCGCAAATCGAACTCCCTCAATGTGCCTCGATGTTGCATAAATACCAGAAAAGTCCCATATTGCTTTCCTCGCTTCTTTGTAATAATCTGTCAAAAACCCACCACCATTAGCGTGATCAAATATACCAGTAAAACCCCACATACATCTTGCTAAAGGTTCAACATCGAGAATATCAACAATGCGAATATCATTCGCTTTCGACTTTATTTGATCGTGACATACAGTGTGCTTGAGTTACGTAAGATGCTTGGATATCATCAGCATTGTTATTATCTTTTAGCAGCGGCGTCTATCCCCATCTCAATATTTGAGGGATTTTATACCACTTCGGAGGATCGATCTCTTAGTGTACCACCTGAGAAATGAATTTCTACAGTAAAAAAGCATTGCATCTTACTTTTGTTTGAAGCATTACGCCTCAAACGTCCCACAGGATAGACGCCCCTGTCTTTTAGTACATGTACGCCAAAACAATCGACACATTCTACACGAAATAAAATTTCGTTTAGTATAACTGTTGCGATTGTGAAGAAATATCAGGATACTATCTGTTATGAAACGATTATTATTCAAATTCAGGTCTAAGGGCTCGCCTCTGTCAGAAATCTATTTTCTACAAAAAACACGAAAATCACAAACCTCTTAAAGAGCATCGTCCAAGCAAAAATCAAACTCTGGACTATCCAACCATGTATAAATCTCAAAATTGATTTTTTTGGTTTCTTAATAAAATGGCCATATTAATACAATAAAAACTTGTTTTTTTCCTGTTGAGTTATCACAACGTTGTACAGACAGAACGAATAAAAAAATTGCTCCATGTGCTGCTTTTATAAGTACCTGGGTCACATCGTTCCAAAAGAAAAGTACAAAACAGCTTATTTGTAGTTAGTTTTTAATTTCGTGTATAACACGTACTCTCTGATAAGAGATACGGTANTTTTTGGTTTCTTAATAAAATGGCCATATTAATACAATAAAAACTTGTTTTTTTCCTGTTGAGTTATCACAACGTTGTACAGACAGAACGAATAAAAAAATTGCTCCATGTGCTGCTTTTATAAGTACCTGGGTCACATCGTTCCAAAAGAAAAGTACAAAACAGCTTATTTGTAGTTAGTTTTTAATTTCGTGTATAACACGTACTCTCTGATAAGAGATACGGTATTATTTAAACTTTATATATTTAATTATTTGATATATTCGTTGGTTTGCTTTCTGAAGTACTTTTTTAGATCAATAATGAGTGATAATACACACCAGTTTGATGACATCAAAAATGAACATAAAAATTATGCTAATTTACCCGATGATCATCCAAGAAAATTGATACCGGAATTATGCAGATTCTTTTATTCGTTAGGATGGGTAACAGGTAATGTGTAAATAATTCCGATCGGTAATCCCAGTTACAGTTTGTTTGTTTTTCATTCACCTAGGTACCGGTGGTGGAATATCATTAAAATATAATGATTTAATTTATTTGGCACCATCCGGCGTCCAAAAAGAACGTTTACAATCAGAACATTTATTTGTTCAAACAGTTGATGGTAAAACTGTATGTGAACCATCTGCCGATTTGAAACTGAAACGTAGTCAATGTACACCATTATTTTATAATTCATTTCATTTACGTAATTCAGGTGCATGTATTCATACACATTCAAAATCAGCCGTTCTTGTTACTCTTCTTTATCCAGGCATTGAATTTCGTATTACTCATCAAGAAATGATTAAAGGTATTAAAAAAGATTCAACACCATCAACGTATTATAGATATGATGAAGAACTAGTAGTACCCATTATTGAAAATACGTGTGAAGAAGAAAACCTCACACAATCGATGGCCAATGCAATGAATATGTATCCGGATACGTGTGCAGTGTTAGTAAGACGACATGGTGTCTATGTTTGGGGTGAAACATGGAAAAAAGCTAAAACAATGTGTGAATGTTATGACTATCTATTTGAAATTGCTTGCCAAATGAAACTGCATGGATTAAATCCCGCAGAAAAGCCAGCAATTACACATGATACATTTTTATGATACTCCAATTTTTTTTTATATAAAAGTGCTGCATCTTCTATCGTTAATGTTTTTGCTCAAATTCGATTTGTTTCTAGCTTGAATTAAGTTTGCGATCTTGATTTTAATAGTTTTGACTTCAATAAATATGAGAAGTTCAAGTTCATCCATCTTTTCAAATTGATTGTATATAAATGATCGAGTATCTGCTAGATAGTAAGAAAATGAGGTATTTGGGTGAGGTGATTAAAAAATATTTTCAGCAGGACAGTATTAGAAAAAAGGAGTTGACTGTGTTTTTATCTAGTTTTTGAGTTGAAAAAGATATTTGGTATAGATCAATTTTTTAAATAAGGTTTAATGCTAAAACACGATATTCTGGAAAATAAGATTATTCAAGTGCATCAAACATAAATAAGTTCCATTCAACATATAGTACGACACGATTTTGGTTGAATAAACACGAGATTCAGCAGAATACTTCA